ATATTAATAAATTTCCCATTTCAAAAAAGAGAAAAAAAATTTCATATTCAATACATCAATGCTAAAAGTAAATAATCGCATCTAAAAATATATCTTCCAAGACCATTTACTATAATGATTACTTTAGATTGGTTCAATTTACAGAGTTTTCAAGTGCTCTATTTAGTGAACAGATATATTAGCCAAGAATTTCTTGAATTTAGTAAAATAGACAGATCACTTACTATAGTTTAGTGCAAATACATGAGAATAAAGCAAAGAATTAATCTGTTGTTTAAATAATAAATTTTTATAACAAAAAAAGGCAGTTTTAAAAATACAATATACAACCTTTACACCATCTATCCTCATTCCTTCGCATCTTTCAGCCAATCTTGGCAGCAGATTAACTTTTCAATAATTTCTGGTGTAAGATTCGATCGATAATCGTCAATAATTCTACCGGCTGCACTAAATGCCTAAATAAATAATTAATGAGTTAACTTATGCTGGTAAACTAATTACAGCTGTTATCATTATTCTTGGAACACTTTATGAAAAATTAACCAAATGATTATTCTGCTGATTTAATAAATTATTGATTTTGGCATAATCAATATAATGTTTATTATTTATGAAGATAGTCTAAAGCTTGGTATGTATAAAAGTTCTAATCGATTTATAAATTAAATTCATATAAAACTACAAAGCTTCAAATGATCTCTACTTTCACGTCCTAATTAAAAAGTTCTATTTCAAATTGTAACTCATACAAAGATCAGTTTGGCTTTCTTTCATTAAAGTCTTAAGATATTTTGTATTATTCAGGTTTAATAGACATGATTTTCTTACAAGTGGCGGAAGTCTTTCAATGCATCCATATCTTTGAAATTGGTTGAAAACTCGACTTATTGAAGATTTGCTAACACACCAGTTGTTCAAATTTATAAATCTTCTAAATTTTCTTCAACTACTTTCCAGTGAATATGCTTCTAAAATATAATACGTAACTAGAATTATATCGATATTGATTATCTGATCACTATCGATTAATAATTGTCACTGCTGCATTATAGATAAAGGTCATTTAAAGCCTTACAAATCGATTAGCATCTACGTACGTACATATCTGGCTTTAGACCATCTTTGTAAATAATAAATGTTATATTGACTATACTGAAATCAATAACATATTGAATCGGCAGAATAATTATTTGGTTAATTTTTCACAAGATGTCCCAGGAATAATGATAACAGCTGTAATATGATTTAACTACGCTAGTAAACTAATTTTAGTAGAATTCTACTTGCCGCTTCGGATGCCATTGAAGTCATAGGAATGGCAAGAATATCTCTGGCTATTAATGCTACGGAAGAATATTTTGACGCATTTTTCTTCCACTATACTAGAATATCAAATGGACTGGAAGAAGAACAAGGAAGAAGTGGATCAGCAAGGTATAGTTCGAACTCATCTATTTTATTTGCTATGTTAACTTGGTTTGCTGCAAGATAATAATCAAATTCTTGCATTAATTCGTCTTCTTGTGAACCCAAATTAAAATAACTGTGATTATTGTGTATAACTGTATTTTGAATATATATTGATCTATAAATCATCGTAGCTCTGTATAAAAGTAAAATATTATTAAATTTAAATGAAAAAAATCATAAATAATGACATCTTCTGACAATTACGTTATGATATTTGAAAAAATAATAATAAAGGGAAATTTTATTTTCACCCAGGTGAAAATAGAATTTCTCTAATAAAAATAAAGGAAGCCTTATATTTAGAGATGTAAAAACTGTTATGGCTTATATAGTTATAGTATAAGCTTTTGCCAAATTATTATAATCAAAAGCGCTATACTGGACTAAATTACCTTCTTTTAATAAAATTTAACTTTCCTCAACTTCAGAGTATGATAAATGCAATTTATGTTTATATATATAAGTTAATAGGGACATTTTATAGCAAGGATCCATCATCGATGCAATGCAAATTGTATCTCTCATATCTGATCAGTACTTATCAAATTTGGTTTGCATTGGTGTAATCATCTAACAAATAAAAGGCTCAATGTTAGTAGCATTTTGTTCAAGATGTAATTTAATTTTTATCAAATGAGAAAGAAAAATATTCGCTGTTAGGTACATGCTTCCTGATATAATATTTGAATATTAATGGTGAGACCATGTCTCTGTCTTTATTAACTGATATAATATTTGTAACTATATTAAAAAAAATAACTAATTAATATTTGTTTTTATTAAAGATAATTTCTATTTGTATGCTATGTATGAAAACACGAGTACAGAATTCTACTTATAAAATCACCCTTTGGATTTTAACAAAAATAATCTACCGGTATACAAAATTTTTCTTTATTACAGTGCTTTTCTAGTTACTGTAATCATCAGATGATCATCTATCACACAGAAATTAATTAAATTCATTATTTTTTAAAAAATTTCTATCTAAAAAGTTAGAATTCCAAAAATTTTTTATCAAATTCCGATTCTTTTGTATATCATCTATTAGTGTATTATATCTTGAAGTGGTCAGATCAAAAAATACTAAAATTGTTTGGTTTTCTTTACTAAATTTTCTCAAACTTCAAGTGAATCTATCTTAATAATGGCTGGTCATTTTTGATATTTAATATTATCCTGATTCCCAGATTTCTCGTGATGTGTGATGCATGAATTTTGCTGATTACAGTAATTTGAAAAGCACTGTAAATATATTATAAATTAATCATTACCTTCATAAAATGGCTCCAAAAAATTACAAATGCTCTTAGCCCTTTTCCAATCCTCATCAGAAAGCATAATATCTTCAAAATTAATGTCTTGTAATGCAAGACGTTCAAAAACACTTTTATATGAAATAGTGGATTTTAACATTAGATAGATAGAATTCCATTTTGTAGATATATCGAGAGTTGGTCGTTGACTTGATACAAGCCCAGCACAGCATCCAATTACCACATCCTCAAAATTTTGTAACCTAGATTGTGAACTATGAACCCACTTCACACATTCTCAGATTTTGCTTATAATGCTTCTAACCATTTTGAGACCATCATTAACGACAAGATTTAATATATGAGCACAGCACCATTGGTGCAATAAACTTCCATTAGCAATCAGCATATTTTCATCCTCAAGCTTGTGCTTTATATTAGCAATTGCGACACTATTACTGGTTGCATTGTCTATAGTGATCGCTAATATCTTTGATGCAATGTTCCAATCATTAAAACACTTAAAAAGCGTTTCACTAATAACAACCTCTGTATGTGGTGTAGGAACCATTCTAAAAGCTATAACCAGTTTTTGGAGTTTCCAGTTTGTATAAATAAAATGACAGATGACGACCATATATCCAAGAGTCTGGTTCGATGTCCACATGTTAGTTGTGTAGCTTAAATATATAGGGGCATCATTTACCATTGTATAAGCCTCTTTTTTAAGTTTTTCAGCAAAATCTACACAATCTCTATGTACTGTTTTTTTACTTACTATTTTATACTTTGGTTGTAAACCATTAACAAACTTTATAAATCCTTCGTGCTCAATCATAAAGAATGGGTATGAATGCCTAATGATCATTTTTGTCATGTCTTGTCGACTTTTTTCTTGAGAAAATTTATAATTTACAAGACCTGCTGCGGATAATTGTAATGTTTGTTGTGATTCATTAACCTTTAAATGTTTTTTACAATTTGTGTTTCTCAAATGACAAATTAATAAGCTAGTTCCAGTCGTATTATCATGCTTTAAACCATTTCCACAGTATGTACACTTAGCATAATGTTCTAACAAATTACAGTAGAATACATTAACTAGTTCACAAAATTAAAAATTATAACATTGTAAAGTAATTATTTTACCCTGTTGAAGATTATGCTTAAAATGACCTTCTCTAAAAACCCAAGATTCTGTATTATTTTTTTTATGTTTTTTATTAACTACAGTTGCTTCGGGACTTTCATTTGTAGCAGCTGTTTCGGGACTTTCATTTGTAGCAGCTGTTTTGGGACTTTTATTTGTATTGGCCACTTCAGAATCTTTGTTAGTAATGGTTGCTTCAATATTCTCATTACTTGCAATTATTTCAGGGCTCTCGCTTTCACTTATAGCAGAATGAATACTTTGTGTTTCTAGTAATATTATGATAAGTTAGTATGTCTAATTTAGAATAGACGATACATATCAAATGATACCAACATACCATAGTCCATCCTCTATAATACAGTTTAAACAGACTATTTTTTAACACTTTTAAGATATGTAATCTAAGCCCGGTTATTAAATATTTTAAGTTTAAAAAAAACATGAATTCTCTAATAAACTCTCTTTAACTCTCTTTAACTGTGTACCTTTAGTTCTGATTTTTGCACTTACAATTACTTTATAAAGATATTTATAAATACTTTTATCTATCTTAAGAATGTATTTAAAGATTTTCTTTTACTTTACTCACCTAAATTTTTTTTTTTTTTTTTTTTACATACGTACGTACATACGTACGTTCTTCCAGTATACACTCTTTTACTAAACAAACTTTTACTTTTTAATGGTATGCTTAATTTAAACCTTATCTATCGTTATTTGTATTACTTTATGCCTTTTATATATACATCTGCAGGTTGATTAAACAAAAAAAAGCAAAGAACACGAAGTTGCAGGTTTACTACATAGTTTTCTCCTATCAGAGTACTAAAAAATTGATTAATATGTAGCACAGATACTCTGATATGTGAATAATTAGTAGAACCAATCAGAAGTGGTAGAGGAATTAGAAATTGCTATCTAAATCAAGTGCGAAAATAGTGATAAAGTTACTTTTATCAATTTTATAAATATTATTAATTAATTATTGGGCCCATTAGGCCTAACTGGGTATTTTCATAAAGCCCAAACCTGGCCCAGTATTTTTGTGGATCCAATCCAAGCCCGGCTCATAAGATAATAGGCTCAAAAATATAGACCCAAACTAGACCCAAGCCCGGCCCAGCGCAAAAATTTCTGAGTTAGCCCAGCCTATGCCATACCCTACTATATATAGTTTTTCTATCAATTCTTTACCTAGTAGTCAACTTAAGTTGGCAACATGGGTACTAAATACTAAATTCTATTAGAAAACTCTATACAATGCTAGAAATCTAGAAAATGCTCAACAACTCTGAAAATATATTAATACAGCCATCAACAACAGATGTAAACAATTAATTAATCAACTAATTAAAATAATTAATAGTATATTAAACAGATATAAAGATACTATACAATTACATAATATTAAAACTGATACAGATATTATTATCAACTCTATTGAAATTAAACAACATATAAGCAATTACTATAATGATTGGACATCCTACAACCCTTATAATGAACTATTATTTAACCATAACTAGCAAGCAAAATACCAATCCAACCTTAATATAAATACAGATTAATATACATCTATACTTACAGAGATTACTACTGAAGAAGTATTACAAACAATACAACATCTTCCAAACAACAAAATATGTAGCCCATCTGATATTAGCTATGAAATGATCAAGCATACTAGATCAAATATACTATCAGTTCTTATAGTTCTTCTTAATAGATGTATTCTTATCCAAAATATTCCTAAACAATGAAAAAATAGTAGAATCTATCCTATCTCCAAAAAACCTCAATTTAATGATAACTTTAATAATACATATCTAATTAGTCTTATTGAACTTACTAAAAAATTATATACTAAAATTCTTACTAATCAACTAACACAAGTTTTTACAATACACTCTATATTTAACTTTTATAACTATGTTGTCCTTCCTGACAACTTAACTAACAACCTAATAACTTTCTAGAAGATGCTAATTGCAGCAAAAAACAAATATATATCTTATTACAGGACATAAATAATGCCTATAATTCAGTAAATATAAATCTCTTCACCAAAGCATTACTACAACTCAACATGCTATCTCAACTTATAAATATTATTATTAACTTATTACATAATCGATCTAATCAAATAATTACTAACTTAGGTTTTATTTCTTTATATATCATACAGGATGATATAGATAAAGGAGAAACTATAACACCTCTTCTATAGCAAATATATTATGATTCTTTAATTAGCTATATATCTAAAAAATACTCAAGTTACTCTTTTACAATAAAATGGCTTACCCAAATCAATCTTAATTGATATCAGTTTAAATCAGTCTCAGCATCTGTATTGGCATATATGGATGATATACTATGGCTTGCAAAATCAGCAGATCAAGTTCAACAAATCTTTCAAACTGTATCTTTATTCTATACAATAACTTATATTAAAATTAATTCATATAAATCAATTCTGATTTCTAACACTTCAGATCAACTTTATGAACTATTCAATTCAAATACAACCTCAACACACCTTATTTAAATTTCTAGGATGCTGGTTTACAACAACTTTAAAATATGGTATACAAATTAAACTCATTAAATAGAAAGCATCGGGACTTAACAATATACTTAAAACCAAAATATCACAGATAAACAAGCTATCTATATTATAAACAATGTTATCGGATTAAATATAATATAGGTAATACCTTAATAAATAATCAATTGATTTAGAGTAGGTGTCAACTATACAATATTTTATTCAATATTATCATCCCAATTCTCAAATATCATATATACAATATAGTATTATCACACAACATATGTAATTCAATTCTATTAAAATATCTGACCACTGCTAAACACAAAGCAAAACTACTAATAAATATTATAATTAAGCATAGTACTATTAGGAGTAGTAATTAGTATTAAAAATATATAAGATATTCAACTACAGCATCACTCCTCTAACTTCTTACTTCAAATCAATAATCCAAACCTTATGGGAACTAGTACATATATTAGACTTCAACAATTACAAAACAATTTGTAGTCTACAACAAATATCCTTCAACACCTCTCACCACTAATCAATGGATCTAACAAAAATACAACTACTTACAAAATTATACAACTCTTTAATTACCTTCAACTCCATATTAATACTTATTCTAATTACATCTACCTTTATACACTTCAACCTCCCTATACTTCTATTGAAAAATATTAAATATCTACAAACTATATCTGCAATTTAAAAAACAGTTACATCAAAAACAAATTATCTACCTAGAATAGCTTATATCATATAACAATTCAACTTTACTAGACTAGAAACACATATCATCATGATTACAACAAATACTCAAAGATTGTCAACCTTTGTGGTTTACAATACTAGAAAACAAAATTATTACAAACTAAACTACAAGACAGATAGACTCTCTATTAAAATTAAGCTATATAAATTCACTTTTATTTACTACTGAATACTTCAAAACCAAATCTAAGCCCTGGCTTATCATCTATAATATGAACCAGAACATAATTCTTGGAAAAACAAGAAAATATAATCAACTAAATGATACTATATTTATTACATACTGAAAAATAGAGTTTAATCACCAATATATGAATCTCTACCTTCCACTAAATTACAACTGCATACCATGTATAAGATATAGTCTAAATTCAAATCATATTAATAACAAATGTATATTCAATATTGCAGCCAACTTAGCTACTAAATTTCCAAGAAAAAAATATATACTAGCTCTAATAAACTTAACCTTTATATTAATATATTAGATCTACTATATTCTATTGCACTATATAATCCTATCTTAATACCTACACCACCTTCAATTACTGTTCACAATAACATAGTACTAGAAATTTTTAAGGACAACCAACTATTTAAAACTCTATAACAAATTGCAACTAACAATAATCAATATGTAGAATTAATATTCTATACAGATGGTTCAGTTAAAACATATCTACAAAACAGTGCACTATGGGAATTGGATGGGTCCAAGTTTATAATAACATTATTCTATATACCTATTCAGCAGAGATTAACTTATGGCCATCATTATACAAAGCTGAACTCTTAGCAATACTTTCTGCAATCAGTATATATCCTCGAGAAAGTTATATAACAATCTATACAAATTCACAATCTATAATAACCAAGTTTAACAAATTAACACAATCACCACCCACATCTAACAAATAATACACTTATAACTACTGGCCAATTTGGCATACTCTACTATATAATTATAGCATATAAACTCACAATTACTTTTCAAAAAGTTACAGTTTATAGTGATAATATATTTAACAACACAGCTGATAATTTAGCAAAAAATATAAATTATCTTACAATACTTCAATTCTTACATAACAATATCTACAACCTATCATATTACATTCAGTATAAAAAGTATGTATTTAAATAAACCAACTCACAGATCTGTTAAAAACATTTGTAATGCCTTTATAATAGCTATATAATTATTACAATACCGAATAAACAATATTATAGCTATATCGCCACAAATTAACTGGAACATAACCTGGCTTTATCTTAATAAAAACTCTAAATGATCATCTAACTACACCAACTTTAAACTTTGTCAAGAAAAAATCTTTAAAATTAAAAACTTATGCTTAATATACTTTTAATGCTACTTTATTAATACATATTATACCCTTCATTACTTTCAGTAACTAACTGCATCATATGCAATATACTAGAAAGTTAACTACATTGGCTTATATATCCTAATCAATTTAACTTAAGCTTAATAATTACTAATACTATACAACAGTTTTTTCATCCAAATAAACTTAATATATCCAAAAACGAACTTCAGAAATTATATACCAAACTTATTAACTATTAAAGCTTCTTATTTAATAGCCTAAACAACAATACAAATTTGTATCTCATAATATAAAGATTTATCTTTACAACACTTACTCAGATAGCTACTAATATAATCATTCAACTTTTTCTACAATTATCACAAAATATTTACAATCAAATTTGGAAATCTTATTGTATAAAATTATCAGAATGAAAACAACAAAACAATATTCCTATTTGGCCTAATCAAAGGCAAAACCAAAATTAACAAACCACTAATATTACCAATAGAATATACAATCATTACAGATTAATCAACACTTATAGCTGCCTTTGCGTTTTATTAGATCAACAACATATTGATAACATATATTCACCTCTTGAAAAAGCTATTCGAAAAATATCTCTATAAACAATACAATAGATTAAATATACTGTAATATACCAACTAATAATATTATATAT